ACCATCATCACCAAAGAGGAGGAAGATGAGGAAGTGGAGGAAGATGAGGAAGTGGAGGAAGATGAGGAAGAGGAAGAGCTCCTACTGTGAAGAGATGCTGGGGTGGCGGCAGACGCCGTCTGTGTCTTTCCCGTCTCCCTCGCTGCTGCTGAGCTGCTGCTCATTGTCTTCTCAAAGAAATCAAAGATGCTGGCTGAGGTGCTTCGGTCGTCCCGCAACCTTTTCCTCGACTCCTGGCCTCCATTTTGAACCCCAGAGTCGCTGAAATACTTGGACTGAGACGGCGTTGCAGCGCCGCCTGCAGGTGCTGCTGGTTTTAGAGGCGAAAGCTGCAAACTGGAGTTGGATGTAGAGGAAGGGGAAGTCTCTGTGGTTTCTCCTGACTTCCTGATGGTGGCGCTGTTGAACAGATCCTGAATGGAAGCTTGTCTCATCCTCTCTCCCTGAGATTTAGGAACTTTCACCGGCGAGCCGTTAACGTTGACGAACACTCTGGTGTTTCCGACGGATCTCTTCGCAGGAGGTTTTACTCCGAAAGAGGGTCGGGCGTTTGAGATGGAGTTGGTTTGATCCGATAAGCCGGAGCGAACTGGAGAGGAGACGGAGCTGGACGAAGAAGGCACTGATGGCGAGCGAGATGGAGAGGAAGAGGAGGAGATTTGGGACTTCCCTCCCAGCAGGAAGCCTCTCCCGCTGAAAGGGATGACGTTCCTGATGTCCTGAGATCCAGAAGCTGGGAACAAAAACAGCAAGTGTCAAAATAAGGCAGGAGCGAACGGTTATTGTAGAAATTGATTACTGTCTCAAATATTCTGACAATTAATTGATTATTCTGATGATTAATCAATTATTTTTTGAAGATTAATCAACTATTCTAACAATTAATTGATTATTATGATGATTAATTGAATAAAAAATTGGCACCTTCTGCTGATTTTTCATTTAACCACCTAAGCTTACTGTATGAAATATTAGAAAAAAATCAAATAATACAAATAAACAATTCATTTCCTTTTTTACTTAAGGAAAAAACATTTTCTTGCCAATCTTTATTATACGCTTTATTACCTCTGCAACTAAAAAAATATATAATTTTAGCTTTAATATATGAAGCTCAGCTGTGTTGATTACTTTTTAAAGTAACTGATTAATAGAAGATTTTATTTACAGAATTTGAAACAGGTGAAGACTATGCCACTAGAACATATTTACAGAAAAAGGACTAATCTTAAATTAAAATTATTTCTTTTTCAAACTGTTTTGCCTTAATTAATACTCTGAGTGTGTTGTTCTTTCAACAAATTGCCTTTTTTTTGAGTCTGTATTCTCCACTTAACAATTAATCGATTACTAAATTAGTTGACGATTATTTCAATCAATTAATCACGATTAATCGTATCATCCCTAATCAAAACCAACCGAACTGCTAGGAAAGTTAAACCTGAACACTGGTAAAAGGTAAAACCAAATCACCTTTGACTGTTTCTGAAGGCTTCCCATTCCCTGCTGTCTTCTTCTCCGAGGTCTTCTTGTTTTTTTTCCCGTATCCTTCAGGCTCTTTGACCTTAGTGTAAGTCCCACCGCATGACCTCCGGTGGTCCTCCCACCAGGGGTCCAGAGAGGACGGGGCCCGGTTCATGGCCCTCTTCACGTACCCAAAGTAAGGCTTGCGGTTCTGGCAGGGCCCGTTGCATCGCCACCAGTGCTGCCGGTAGACGTCGACTTCATCATGGAAGCTGTGGTAGATCTAAAAAGACAACAACAAATGCAAATTTCAGATCAAACTGAGGATCATCAGCTGATGGAGCTCAGTGGAGAAGGAAATACGCCTACAGTGATTTTGGTCCCGCTGGCCTTGTTGATCCTGTTCATGTGTTTGCAGAACTCGGGTCCGTGTCCGTCTCTGTCTCGGTTGTTCTGGGTCACAAACAGGAGGGCGTGGATCATTTCATGGAGGAGAGTCTGTGAAACAAACAGGTAGCAACATCAGTATATTAGAAATACAAATAAAAATCTTTCTTTTACAACAGAGTCTGACCTCAACCAAGTCTTTTCTGGGCCTCAGCTTCAGCAGAGGCTCGCTGAGCCGGATCGAACAGAGTCCGCCTCGGCCTTCATAAGAGCACACACCGGCACACCTACAGAAAAACAACAACAAAAGCAGGAAACTGCTTATTATTTATTCAGAACATTAACATTTGCATGATTAATTTAAATTCTTAAACACCTCGTTTTTCTTTACTACTTTATGAAAAGAAAGGAATATGATATCTATAAATATCAGTTACTGGCCATTAAATTAATATCAGATATAAATCAGTGCATTCCTGCATGTCTGAAAGTTTAAACTGATTTTAATGTGTAAAATAAACAAAAGAAAATAAAAAAGAGCAGATGAAAAATGACAAAGCTACAGAACATTTGATGAAATAAAAGATCTGACTGACAGAATGCATATTTTCACACCATTTCCAGGGATTATTTGAATGATACATTTTATCTTGTTAAAATTGTTTTTGAGGTCAATATTTTGATTTGTTATTAAAGGAAATATTCATAATTACTCCTCTGGGAATCACAATCTTGTTTTCTCTGCTCAGAATATAAACCTTTTACTCAAAGGCAACCTGTAGAGAAAGTAGTCACGGAAAGCAGACGAAACTTCTCAGCATTGTTTTGACGTTACTGATAGGATTGCTCTTTGCCAGCCACATGAATTAGTGTTTTCTGAAATGGTTCTGCTTGTTCTGTGTTTTGAAATTAGCTCCCACTGCCATGGAAAGGAAGTTTTATGTTCAGTTGCTGAGATTTGGAAAGTGCTGTGGAGTGAAGTTCACAGTGAGGTCAGGGGAGGAGGACTGCTCTGTCCACATGTATTTTGTGGTTCTGAATGAGTCTCCTGAGGTTTTGTGTATTGCGAACCGGGGGTCACTTTTACGACCCGGCATCCTCATTTTGGGCTGGACTCCACCCGGACTACTCCCCGTCACTGATCCGGTTTGTGGTTCTCCTCATGGACACAAACAGCTACATGTGTTTCCATTGACTAGTCATCATTCCTCCTCATCAACAGGAGATGTTTTGGACTAGAAGGGCCAGGATATGAGAATTTTTTTTATTACAAGATTATACTTATAATATTAGCAAATAAATGAAAATTGCCAGAAAAAACGTCTTGTAAATGTGAGAAAATTGTTTTCTTGAGAAAAAAAAGTTATCAGGTTCTCTTGTGACCACCTTAGTCCATGCAGTTCTTTCTTTCTTCTAAATTGTTTGTATGACCTTTTAAACATCCTGCTACTGAGAACAATTTCAAAGGTTAAGTATTTCTATTAGGTATTATGTATTACCTATAACATTTACACAAAAATATAGGTTCACAAGATGTTCAACATTCCTCATTTTCATGAGGAATATTCTCTCATTCAAAGTCCAAATAAATAAAAGTTAAATTATATCACTCTGAACTAATAAGGAGTGCACGGGCCAAAAGATCCCAATATAAAAAAATAATAATTCAAACACCCCCAATCGATCATTCAATTTAATCGATTAATCGTCCACATCTACTTCCACCCAAACTTTGAAAATCAGAAGCATCAGTCTATGATTTTGTGTTGAGAAATGCTGATATTTCTGCCTTATTCCTAATGATTAAATAAAAAGTGTCTTACAGAGTCATTCTGGGGCTCCACTTGACCTCCACTCCGTTGAGTTTTCCCCAGAAGAACATGTCGTTGAACTCCAGAAACATGGACCTCAAGTCCGGGTTGGGGTCCAGCATCTCCCAGGACTCGTCTACGATGCTCAGCGGCCTCTCGGGCTGAGCGGTCGGCGGCTTCCAGCGGGTAACAGCGCCGCTGCCACCTCCATGTGGCTCAACTTTCTGTTTCTTACTGCTATGTCCGAAGCCATCCTCCAGAAAACAGTCCGGTGGGATCTGAGAAGTCTGGTATTCGGTGTCGAACTGTTCCTGAAGCTGAATGGCGAGCAGGAAATCAGCATCCATGACAACAACAACTAGCAGGAGGCTAACTAGCTTTGTTGCCGGATATTCATGTAAAATAAAAACAATCTAAGTTCTGGAGTGAACAACAACTTCGACCAGATCATAATAAAATCCTATCAGAGTAAAAGTGCGCTGGTTTTGGTCATATTTCCTAATTAAGCCACATTTTCTAAGCCAAGAGTAACAGATAACTGCCGATTTGCTAAAAACTAGAGCCGATAAGTCAAAGTGCTGCAGTGCAAATGATGTATTTCCGGTAGTGTTCAAAAATAAAAGCACAAGTTTCTGGAGTAGCTTTAGTCATTTGGCAGATTTTCGACATTTTTGTTTAAAATCTAAATAATAAAATTACTTAAACTAAAACTCTCAATCAATAAAATACATTTTTCCTTTATTTACGAGATTTTCAGCGTTAATTCATAAACTTGATTACGCTTTCCTGTCCAAACCTGACCCGGATGTTGTTCTACGGTCAAGTCAAATATACTTTGAATTTTACATATCAAAAATAGATTTGTTTAATATTTAATATATCGAGGTGGGTAAATACTCAGAGCATAAGAGTAGGACTACTTCAAAAATATTGTTTTACTAAACTAAAAGTAAAAAGTATCAGTTCAAGAAAATACTGTAGTAAGAATAAATAGGATATTTGGTAAATAGTCTGTCAGAATTCTGAAGGAAAAAAAATTAAAATGCTGAGAAAAAAAACGAAAAAAGTCGAGATATCTGAGATTAAAGTTAGAACTCTGAAAAATTTAATATATCTGAGAGAAAAATAAGAAATTTTATCTCGGTGTCCTTAATTAAATTCTGTGGTAAAATTAATTAATTAAATAAATAAATAAATAAATAAATAAATAAATAAATAAATATACGTGATTCAATACAAACGTTCTATTTCTATTTTATTGTATTTTATTTAGCTGTGTGGGTTAGAGCTTACCTTCCCAATATGGCGGCGCCGTTGGCGTGCCAATCCCCGTGACGTTCACAACCCGGGTGTCCACCTTCAAACAACTTCCTGTTTGTGTATTAGCGGATATGAAGGAGTTTTTCCGCTGTTCTCATTCCTCTCCTTCCCAATTCTACTTTTGATTTAATACCTGACTAAAACTGAGGACTAAAGATGTCTGAAACCGGGAACCGACTACGGAAGCTTCTCGAATCGCCCAATTTCGACCCGCAAAGCTACGTCAAGCAGTTGTCCCAGCAGTCCGACGGAGACAGAGACCTGCAGGAGCATCGGCAGAAAATCCAGAATCTGGCCGACGAGACGGCCCAGAACCTCAAAAAGAATGTTTACAAGAACTACAGGCAGTTCATCGAGACGGCCAAGGAGATCTCATACCTGGAGAGCGAGATGTACCAGCTGAGCCACATCCTGACCGAGCAGAAGAGCATCATGGAGAGCATCACTCAGTCCCTGCTCTCCACGGATAAAGATGAGACCTCCAAGGAGATGCAGGCAGCCTTCCCCAAGGAGACAGAGGAGCTGAAGCAGAGGACGCTCACTTCCCTGCTGGAGAAGGTGGAAGGAGCAAAGAACATCATGGACACCCCGGGGAGGCACCTGGTCTACAATGGAGACCTGGTAGAGTTTGACGTGGACAACATGTCGCCCATCCAGAAGGTGAAATGAAATCATTATTTAGAATGGGTAAAATGTTAGCAAAAGCGAATGAGAAGAAAACAAACACAATGATAATAATCAAACATAAAAAATAGGGCTACAACTAGTAATCGATTATCTTGACGATTAATCGAATAAAACACGTTCTACAATTTTCTCATTTAACCACTGAAGTCTTTTGCTGTTCAATGTTAGAAATACATCAAAACATATAAATAAAAAATTCAATTCCTTTTTTAAATAAGAAAATAAACATTTTATTGCCTACAATGCAACATTCCTTTAGTAAATCTGAACAAGTGACGCTAAAGCTAAAAACATATTCACAGACAAAGGTGTTGTTAACTTGAACACAAAATGTTTGTTTTTTGTACATTTTTGGCTTAAGTGCTGCTCTGAATGTGTTGCTGTTTTCAGTAAATTGATTTAAAAATATATTTATATGTCCACCAGGAAAAGAAAACACAAGTTCAACTAAATATATGTGATTTCTGTGGTTCATAATATGTAGACTAAAATAAATATTGGTGATTTTAGTACAAAAAATAATTTTTCCTTGACAACCATGCTTGCCATCAGTGACTGGTGGATTTGTTTCAGCGAATCAAGCCTGTGGAAACATCTGTCCCAAGTCATATCAAAGTTTTTTATTTTGTTCAATAATCTGGTGCACAAAATAATCTTTAATTGGTTTGGCACACTTCTTGTTTTCACCAGGTTCACGCTTTCCTCATGAATGACTGCCTGCTGATCGCCACCTGGTTACCCAACCGCAGAGGCACGGTGAAGTACAAATACAACGCCTTGTACGACCTTGAGAGCTTCGCCGTGGTGAACGTGAAGGACAACCCCCCCATGAAGGACATGTTCAAGATCCTCATGTTCCCCGACAGCCGCATCTTCCAGGCGGAGAACAGCAAAGTGAAGAAAGAGTGGCTGGAGATCCTGGACGAGACCAAGAAGAACAAAGTTTCCAAGGAGAAGCACAAGAAGGAGGAGGAGGTCCCCATGTCTCCGGTGCGGGCCGAGGTGTCCACCAACCCCTTCGACATGGAGGACGAGGAAATGGTGGAGTCGGAGGACGGCGTGGATCTCAGCATGGAGTGGATCCAGGAGCTGCCGGAGGATCTGGACGTGTGCATCGCGCAGAGGGACTTCGAGGGCGCAGTGGACCTGCTGGACAAGCTGAATGAGTATCTGAAGGACCAGCCGGCGACGCCCAAGGTGAAGGAGCTCCGGGCGAAGGTGGACGAGCGTGTGCGGCAGCTGACGGAGGTTCTGGTGTTTGAGTTGTCTCCAGATCGCTCCCTTCGCGGTGGACCTAAAGCGACCCGACGGGCGGTGTCCCAACTCATCCGACTTGGTCAGTGTTTCTCAAAGTGGAGGAAAATGAGAAAACAAATATGAAAAACTACACTTTCCAGTCATAAATTTAAAGTTTAGTAGTTATTATTATAATATACAAGTTAAAAAAAACTTATTGAATATGGAGGTAAAAGTTAGGAAATGGAAATTCAGGAGAACACAATTAATCAGACTGGCAGTCAAATTGACTGCCAATCAAATTTATCAAGTTGCTTTGCTCCTCTAGCTAGAAATGGAACAATTTCTGATAAGAAAAAAACTGCAGCTGCTTCAAAAGGCGACACTGTGGAGACTAAATAAAATTTGATGTGATAAATAGTAAAAATATTACTTTTTTTAATCAAAAGGGGAGGTGGAGGTGGAAAATTGTACCTGGTAATATAGCAACAATATGTTATCTGAGAAAATGTTCCACCACAGAACATGTTGCCAAGTAAAATCAGAAGGTATGAGGTTAGCATTTATGCTAAACGAAAGTAATAATTATTGAAGAAAAAATAAAAATTTGAAAAAAATTGTAAAATTCTGTTTTTTTACATATTTTGTAGCATTGTCTGTGGGCTTACTAAGGGGGTCTCTGGCTAGAAGCTAACACTATTTGGGCGACCATGAACTATCTCTCTCTCTCTCTTTGGTTACCTAGCAACTCACTCACTCTTTGGTTACCTAGCAACAGCCTGTTGAGTAACTGGCGCAGCAGCAGTTTAAAGTTTTGCCACAGTGCCTCATAACTGCTTAAAAAAAACACAGGGGGGTTGGGTAGTATTTCAGATCTTTAAATAATGTTTTTCAGCCAACTGTCCAGGCCTTTTCCAGCTTATTGACTTTGTCGCTATTTTTTTTTTAGCAAATTTTCAGACAAAAAAAAAAAGGTATTTGCAGGTCAGGCACTCCAAAGCTGTAATCATTGCACCACTAAACCAAATCAAAACTAGAAAAGTGTAACAAAACATTGAGAACTGTTGATCAAACCCCCCACAGAAACATATTTGAATAAATACCAAGGTCCAGACTTCTGTGTCGTACTGGAAAATCAGTGATACTTTAATGTATCACTGTGTAATGGATTCTGCTGATTTCAGGTCAGTCCACCAAAGCGTGCGAACTCTTCCTGAAGAACCGCGCCGCCGCCGTCCAGACAGCGATCCGGCAGCTTCGCATCGAAGGAGCCACGCTTCTCTACATCCACAAGCTCTGCAACATCTTCTTCACCAGCTTGCTGGAAACCGCCAAAGAGTTTGAGATGGACTTCGCGGGCAACACGGGCTGCTACTCGGCCTTCGTGGTCTGGTCCAGGTCGGCCATGACCATGTTTGTAGACGCCTTCAGCAAACAGGTCAGCGAAGACGCTAAGAGACAGGTTCAAAGGTGTTTTCACACCTGATGGTCTGGTAGATTTGGCTCAATTGTGGACCAAAATAGCAACATTTGTTACATTTTCATGGTTCTCGTAGATATAAAAAAAAGGAGTAAATTTCCGCCAAAAAAACTTTTTCTACAAGAAACACGGAAATGTCTGAGTTTCAAAAGCATAAAATTTGCAAGGCAGAAATCAGAATCTTTTAGATTAACCAGAAATTTTTTAGAAAAATGTGGAAATTTCTGAGTTTCAAAAGTTGAAAAGTTGCTAGGAAAAGCTAAAAAATAATTTGGATTAATCTTTTAAATCTTCTAAAAAAGGTGAAAATTTGGTAGAAAAAAATCAGAAATGTTGAGATTGATCTCAGAAATTTTCTGGAATAAAATAGAAAATTTCCGAGTTTCAAAAGTCAAAAATTTAAGTTTATAAAAGTTTTAAACTCTGACTCTGAAATTTTGAGGTTGATCTTGTACATTAAATGGAAAAAGGGTTTGGGCTCATTTTTGGTTGTATTTACCCAGAATGCCATGTGCTGCAGTTCACTTCCTGCTTTTGGAGCGGAACCCGCTCTGCTTTGCATTCTCATCTGGATTCAAACCTCACCAGAGTTCACTTCAACCGTACAGAGGCCGAGGTTTTTAGGTGCACCAAGGTGCTTGTTATAGAAATATTCTTCAGCTTAATGAATGTTTTCCACTTTTTCAGGTGTTTGACAGTAAGGAGAGTCTGTCCACAGCAGCCGAGTGCGTGAAAGTGGCCAAAGAGCACTGCCAGCAGCTAACCGAGATCGGCCTGGACTTGACCTTCACTCTGCAGTCACTGCTGGTTAAGGACGTCAAGGCGGCCCTGCAGAGCTACAAGGATATCATCATCGAAGCCACCAAGCACAGGAACTCAGAGGAGATGTGGAGGAGGATGAACCTGATGACCCCTGAGGCTTTGGCCAAACTCAAGGTGGCGCCGACTGCCATTGTCCCATCTTTTGTCCTGCTTTCTGTATTGTTCTCAGCTTTTGGAAGCTGAAGTATTTTGCTATATTTTGTAAGATTCCTTTTTAAGGCAAAAAAATTACCAAAAGATACACAAAGAAGAAGAAACATTGGGTGGAAAAATGCCTTTTCTGAATTATAACTCACATGAATGTGGATACACTGTAAAATTTATGAAAGACTCAGATTTATTAGTTTTAGTTTAGCAAACAATTGTTTAATACACGATTAATCATTTAGCAAACAATTAATTGCTTACTAAATGATTAATAAATTACTAACCAATTAATCTATAGTTTACTAATCAATTGTAAATGAAAAAATAATCTAGGTTTTAATTATTTAGTAAACGATTGTTTAATAAACGATTAATCATCTAGCAAATGATTAATGGCTTACTAAACGATTAATTGTTCACTAAATGATTAATCGTGTACTAACCGATTAATCTATCAAATACCAAACAATGGTAAATGAAAAAAGTTTTTAAGCTTGTAGTAAATGATTGCTTAGTAAACATTTAAGTCTTTGCTAAATTATGAAATGCTTAGTAAACAATTGTTCACTAAACGTTTAATTGCTTACGAAATGATTAATTTGTCATTTATTAAATAATTGGAAACAAAAATATCATTTAGTTATTAATCATTTAGAAAACAATTGATTATTAGATTAGTTGAGGATTATTTCAGTAATTGATTAATCATGATTAATCCGATTAATCATTTCAGCTCTAAAAGCAACACAAATATTTTTTTGCTCTCCTGTTGCAGGAAGAGATGCGCAGTTGTGGTATCAACTTCCAGCTGTACACAGGCGACGACTGCTGGGTCAACCTGAGCTACACGGTCGTAGCCTTCACCAAGCAGATGATGAGCTTCCTGGAGGAAGGCCTGAAGCTCTACTTCCCCGAGCTGCACATGGTGCTGCTGGAGAGCCTGCGGGAGATCATCCTGGTGGCTGTGCAGCACGTCGACTACAGCCTGCGCTGCGAGCAGGACTCCGACAAGAAGTCCTTCATCCTGCAGAACGCCAGCTTCCTGCACGACACCGTGCTGCCGGTGGTGGAGCGGCGCTTCGAGGAGGCTGTGGGGAAGCCGGCCAAGCAGCTGCAGGACCTGAGGAAGAGCACGAGGCCGGTGCGGATCAACCCTGACAGCACCACTTCCTTGGTTTGAGGCGGTCGGGAACGCCCACACATCCGTTCCCTCCATGCAATTTCACAGCTGACTGAAACACTAATTGCTGCTTTTTGTTGAGAGGCTGCAGCAGCAGCAGCAAAATGAAAACAGTAAGCACACCATTTCTGTTGTCACATAAAGGTTTATTTTAGTTTATGAAAATAATTCCTCATCCAGAGTTGGACATAGCAAATACACTGCAAAAACAAAATCTTACCAAGTATCTTAGTGTAGTTTCTAGTGTAAATATCTTATTACACTTAAAACAATAAGCAATAGAAGCTTGTTTTATGTCAATAATTCCCTAATATTGATGAAAAGTTCCAGTTCTATTGGCAGATTATTTCACTTATAACAGGGAAAAATGTCTCGTTATAAGTAAAATAATCTGCCAGAGGAACTAGTCATTTTTCTGCAATTTTAAGAAATTATTGACTTAAAACAAGCTCCTGTATCTTGCTGAGAAGTTACTGATGTGTAAGTTTTGTCTTATTTCAAGTAGACTAAGGATTTGCGCTAGAAACTAGACCAAAATTACTTGACAAGATTTTGTGTTTTTGCAGTGGATACACTTTATGCTTCTTTATCTCTTCCATAAATGCATTTTTTTTGCAAAATTTAATAATCAAATGCAGATTTTTTTTAATGTTTGCATAAAACAAAGATATTGGCTTCAGTTTAACAGGTTTACCCATCACTAATGTTGATTTTCATGCTGTTAAAATACACAAGATGTTTACAATGGTGCATTAGGGCCATCATAGATTAAAAAAACAAAAGGAGTAAATTTCCACCAAAAAATGTCAGAAATTTTCAAGAAAAATCTTGGAAATTTCTGAGTTTGAAAATTTGTAATAAGAAAGCAGAGAAATTTTGAGATTAATCTAAAAATTAGATATAAATCTCTCTCTCTCTCTCTCTCTCTCTCTCTCTCTCTCTCTCTCTCTCTCTCTCTCTCTATATATATATATATATATATATATATAAAATTTCTTAGAATAATCTACAAGTTTCTGAGTTTGTTGTTGGAAATGTACCCTCTATTTTTTTTAAATCTACAGTGGCCCTAATCCGCCGTCGTAGATTTGTTGTTTGTTCATGTAAATTTTGAGATTTTGAGGCAGCCATTTTGTATGTTGGATGAAAAGGGATGAATAAACTATGCCATTATGTCGAATGTGAGTTTTTTTTTACTTTAACACATTTTAATGATTTATTTCAGACATAATAGAAACAAACAAAAGTGATTAATTAATAAAGCACAGCAGTAATGTTTAGTACAAACATTACTTGCAGATCAAGCAAAATGTCTAACAAGCAGAATCAACTATCAATATATTGACTTTATCTTACTACAGTTAAACCAGAGACATCAAGAGAATCAAAAAATCCCAAAGTTATCCCAAATATTTCAGTTGTTTTAAATAATCCTGGATCTCAGATTGGAAGATCAGAACTTGTTTAATAAGAGACTTGTGAGGATGTTTCTGTTATTTTTTTTACTGAAAGTTTTAATTTGAATCATTATTATGAAGAGCTGTCGCCCTCTTGTGGCAGGTTAGTATCAGCAAACAGATCTTTACAAACAGAAACTCATAACTTACTTTAATATCTTCAGTCATAAGTGGTCTTTATTGGAGAAAATCTCAGAGATGGCAGCCAAAAAGGCAAAATCAATGCAGATGAAATTATTTAACTGGAGTGTGAGGTGAAATTAATGTTGGAATTCAAACTTTAATGTCCAAATTCTGACATTTTTCTCAGAATTAAGATTTTTTTTTCTCAAAATTAGATTTTTTTCTTAAGAATTCGGGATTTAATCTCAGAATTCTGACTTTAATGTCCGAATTCTGACTTTTTTTCCTTGTAGTTGTGAATCTCAGAATTCTTTTTTTTTTCTCAGAATAAGAATTGTTTAAATTGTTTATGCATCATAATCTCTAATCTAGTCTCAAAACTCAAATTTACAGAGTAAATTTGGGTCAGACTTTCAGTGTGGATGAAGTGCAGATTAAATCCTATAGGAAGAAACAGTTGTGTTATTTTAATATACTAACAATTGATGTACACCTAATAATCTTTGGTTACTAATTTTGAATTTTGACACAGAATTAGAATTCTGAGGGCAAAAATCAGAGTTCATTTATTTTCTGTTGCCCTAATCTTCCATAAACTTGTGTTACTGAAGGCAATAAAAGTGGAGAAAATGTCTTGTCTGAGGAGATTTATGTGGCATTGTTCACACAAAGATGTGCACAGATCCTCATTTCACAACAAAGCACATGCGAAAGGCAGGTAATGTGATGCTAACAGGGCTGATAAATGGGAAATCTGTTCCAGGATGTGGGATTGATGCGGCTCCCTGAGGGACCCCAGTCTCTGCTGCCGCTGTCTGCTCCGTTAAATGTCCAGCTAACACAAAGGGCTAACGTGACAAACACAAAGGTTACTCGGTCGATCCGCTGCAGAGGCTCCCTCGTCCATTTTTAGCGTGTTTGGGATCCATCTGATAGTCATTTGGTGGAGAATGTGTTTCCACCAGCGATCATGTTTCACCCTCATCATCACTCCGACGGCAGAACGGACGCAGAATTATGATCTTTATCACGGCCGCCATTATTGTTGACATAATGATGTCAGTTAAGACCCATTTCTGTCTTGTTAGGAGACTGTTTGCTACTACTGGGAAATTAATTAAATGAAAAGAAAAGTTGCTTTTAAAAGTTCACCTTTGTTTAGCTAACTCTATTAGCACTGTGCTTTGGAATTACCTGAGGAAAATGCATTGCGTTTTGTTTGAAAAGGTACATTTTAAAGTGAGATTAGTTGTAGACCCTAGTTGTAATTGTGCCAAAACCAAGTGAAATTTGCCCTTGGTAAAAAAAACAAAACAACAAAAAATAACTTTCTGGCATCTACATTATTTTTTTCCTCAATAAAATTGGAAAAATCCATCTAACTACAATGGTGTATATAGGGCCATAGCAGAAAAGGGAGCAGTAAATTGTGGCAAAAAAACTCATACATTTTTACATTACCTTAAAAACTTTCTAGAAAAAGCTTGGACATTGCTGAGCTGCAAGAGTCAAAATTAGCAAGAAAAAACTCAGATTTTGAGATTAATTTCAGAAATATTCTACAGCAAATAAGGAAACTCTTTGAGCCCTAAAAGTAGAAAAGTTTAAACTTTTGGAAATTTTTTAATTTTAATTTTTTTTTTATTTCACACTCACATTTCAAAGTTTTTTATTTAATTTATTTTTAGAACATTTCTGAGAATCTCAAATTGTATGTGTTTTTTGGTAGAAATTTACACCTACATAGGTAAAACCAGCTGACCAAATATGCTGGAGTTCTGCTTGGGTTGCTAGGAGATGTGCTCAGCTGGGGTTGCTAGGTAATGATGCAGTGCCCATACATAGTAACTGAACAGTCAGGAGGTTTTCAAAAAACACTAATTTATTGTCAAAATGGCTGTGTGCGTGTGTGTGTGTGGGGGGGGGTGTTTTAAAGCACTTTAGCTGTTTTTATAAGCAGTTGAGACCCAAGTGGAAGTACAAAAATGTGGAAAATGTGAATTTTGCGTAATAGATTCTCTTTAATGGTCCACTGAATAAAACTGATTTAACACTAAGCTGCTAGCAAATTCTTCCCTGGCTTCATTTGCTCCTGTCTTTATTCTAGGCAAGACATACAGGGTAATAATCTCATTATCCATAGAGGTCTGAGGTGTTGTGTTTGTCTGAGCTGTCCTATTCTTGCATTAGAAGATCCTGCCAAGAAGCATTTGACTTCAGAAAACAGCCAAATACCCCCCTGAGACAGCTGTAGCTGCCACATCCAGCCAGGCAGGGGTCCAGAGACAGACTGGGGGTTTACTGGAGAGATTACAAGTCTCAGCTGGGGATCTCCCCCAGTCAGTATGTTTGTTTGTCATACTGAATATATTGAGTCATTGTAAATCAACATGTGAAGACTGGAAACCATTCTTATAATGGCTGACCACTGACGTGTGAGTGGCACCTGCAGAAAGCCTGCAGCAACACTGCCAAATGTCCCATGCAAGCGAGAGCCATTTCTGTAGTTTTCACGATAAGACCGTAAAGCTGCAGTATGTAACTTTACTATGAAAACTAAACTAAACCAAAGATTACATATTTGTTGAAGCTGTCACCATGAAGCATGTCATAATAATACATTTTACTGGACGATAAATTGTTCCAGAAGTTATTACAATAATGTTGTTTTGAGACAATTTTTAAGTAATAACGTTATAATAATGCAAGGACACATTTTCAGAAATCAATAAAATTTAACTTTAAAGTGTAATGGACTTTCAACACTGGAACTGGAAGACAATTTAAATATCCAAAATAAACAAACAAAACAACAGCAACAACAAATAAAATGAATTATAGTCTCTCTTAAAAAGGGGGGAATGGGGGTGTTAAATGAGACCAAAACATCAGACTGAGTTTCTTTTAGCATATTTTCAGCTTTTCAAGCTCAGACATTTTCAAGATTTTTTTCTAGAAAATTTCTGAGGATAATATCAAAATTTCAGTTTTTTGGTGGATTTTTACTCCTCTTTTATTATTATTATTATTATTATTATTATTATTATTATTATTATTATTATTATGTATCTACAATCGCTGTATTTTTATATCCGATACTTTTCAAAGTCATGAAATTACCGTTATAAATCACATCAACCCACACGTCACCGCTCTCGGTCGTGCGCATGCGCAGACCAGTGCAGGGAGCTGTCCGCGGCAGTTGGTGCTCGAGCGTTTTACCCGCAGCAGCTTCACCGGACACATCGCTACCGGAGACATGGAGGAAGAGCTAAAATGCCCCGTTTGTGGTTCCTTCTTCAGGGACCCCATCCTGCTGCCGTGCTCCCACAATGTCTGCCTGCTGTGCGCCCGGAACATCACCGTCCAGACGCCGGACGGGGAGACTCCGGTCCAGAGCCGAGCCTCCGGAAGCTCCGACTACGACTACCTGGACATGGACAAGATGAGTCTGTACAGCGAGACGGACAGCGGCTACGGCTCCTACACCCCCTGCCAGTTGAAGTCTCCGAACGGCGTTCGGGTATTTCCGCCGGTCGCCCCGCATCGGAACTGCTCCCTCACCTGTCCGCTGTGCCACCGGAGCGTGTCCCTGGATGAGCGGGGTCTCCGGGGGTTTCCTCGGAACCGGCTTCTGGAGGCCATTGTGGTGCGGTACCAGCAGACCCGCGGCATCCCGTGTTCGGCATCCCCCTCCGCGGTGAAGTGTCAGCTGTGCGACCGCAACCCGGTGGTCGCCACGGTGATGTGCGAGCAGTGCGACGTCTATTACTGTAACGCCTGTCAGCAGCGGTGCCACCCGTCCCGCGGTCCGCTGGCGAAGCACCGCCTGGTACCGCCGCCGTCGCCGAATCAAGCGGCTGGAGGAGCAGCGAGCGGCGGCGGTGCTGGGGGTCAGCAGCCGGTGCTGACCGCGCGGAAAGCGGGGACCTGCGTGGATCATGAGGCGGAAAACTTCAGCATGTACTGCTGCAGCTGCAAGGCTCCGGTGTGCATGAAGTGTTTGGAGGAGGGGAAACACGCCAAGCACGACGTCAAACCGCTGGCTGTGATGTGGAAGCAACACAAGGTGAGCGCATACTTCATTTTTTATGCTCCATAAGGATCGTTTTTTCAGTAACACTGAGGTTTTTGGGCTTATTTTAGAGATAAATATTAATTTCTGCTGCATTTCGTTACGTTGCCTCAGAAAGCTCCTTTGGCAAGGATGTCCAAAGTGCGGGCTGCGGGCCCTTTGTGGCCCTCGGGCTGATTTTTTTTT